TGTGTGTGTGCTCTCACTCTCCCTCTCTCTCCCTCTCTCTCCCTCTCTCTCATCTCCCTCGGCTCACCCTCAGCCTCACGCTCGTTACAGTTACCGTCCACCTCCACAACCCGGTTCGCGAATATTAACCCGACCCCCTTTCCATGTGCGGCGCGCAGTGCGCCCTTGATACAAGGTTTCCACATCTCTTCGGGTCGACTGACCCATGTCCATGCGTTGTTCACATGGAACCCTTCTCCACTTCRGTCTTCAAAGTTCTCATTTGAATATTTGCTACTACCACCAAGATCTGCACCGGGACCCGCTTCACCTAGGCTCACGCTCCAGGCTTCGCAGCAGGCCTCGCGCCCTCCTACTCATCTCGGCGTCAGAATCGTCACGACGGCCGAGCATAGGTCGCACGCTTCAGCGCCATCCATTTTCGGGGCTGATTGATTCGGCAGGTGAGTTGTTACACACTCCTTAGCGGATTTCGACTTCCATGACCACCGTCCTGCTGTCTGTATCAATCAACACCCTTTGTGGTGTCTGGGTTAGCATGCAGTTTGGCACCGTAGCTCGACTTTCGGTTCATCCCGCATCGCCAGTTCTGCTTACCAAAACTGGCCCACTTGGAGCTTTCATTGATCCTCGTGGTTCGCTTAAGCAACCCGAAAATCTTATCTATTTAAAGTTTGAGAATAGGTCAAGGGTGTTTCACCCCCGAGCCCTCTAATCATTTGCTTTACCCGATAAAACTGTTCAACAGCTCCAGCTATCCTGAGGGAAACTTCGGAGGGAACCAGCTACTAGACGGTTCGATTAGTCTTTCCCCCCTATACCCAAGTCCGATGATCGATTTGCACGTGAGTATCGCTGCGAGCTTCCACCAGAGTTTCCTCTGGCCTCGCCCTGCTCAGGCATAGTTCACCATCTTTTGGGTCCCAACGGGCATGCTCACACTCAAACCTCTCACAGCAGATCGTGGTTGGCGGACGGTGCACCCGCAGAGGGTTCCCGCCACTCAGGTTTCTTCCGCCTCGTGGGCTAATCACCCACCGGCTCGCATGCACGTTGAACTCCTCGGTCCGCGTTTCAAGACGCGCAGGATAGAGGAATTTCGCCAGCATCCCGAACACACAGGAACCCGAACGGGCCCGCCGAAAGAGGCGCGTGCTCAAGGTCCTCAACTACCGTGACGACCACCAGTGGGGGGTTTCAATCGCTCCCCACCDCAATGCCGGTCACAGCAGCCCATGCTGGCAGGCACCCCACGTCCAACAAGGGGGGCGACAACACAGTCGCCGTCCACGCCTACCCAGACGGGAGCGCACGACTTCCCCTCCATCCGCTTCTAGCTCGGCAATTTCAAGCACTCTTTAACTCTCTTTTCAAAGTTCTTTTCATCCTTCCCTCGCGGTACTTCTTCGCTATCGGTCCCTCGCACATATTTAGCCTTGGATAGGACTTACCACCCAATTGGGGCTGCATTCCCAAGCAACCCGACTCTTGGACAACACCTCGTTGCGCAGCAGGGTGCGGCGGTCGACGGGGCTGTCACCCTCTTCGGCGTCGCCTTCCAGGGAACTTGCACATGGCCCACTGCAGAGGTTGCCTCTCAAGACTACAATTCAGGGAGCAGCACAGCCCCCGGATTTTCAGTCTGGGCTATTCCCGGTTCGCTCGCCGCTACCAAGGGAATCCTCGTTGGTTTTTCTTCCTCCGCTTAGTTATATGCTTAAATTRGGCGGGTGCTCCCGCCCGACCTGAGATCAAAAGGCAAGGCCCGACGTACCTCCACAGCTCGAGGCCGACACCYCCAACCGCAAGCCCACCTCAAGCTGATGGGAGCGAATGGAAGGCGGCGGCCACACAAACCGGAGGGACGACCTTACGTGCCGTTTTCAGGGAAACAAAGACCACCAACCACAAACGGGTGCTGGAGGGCAACAACAGGGCGGAGCGAAACGCACCACTCTGGGCTGCGGCCCCCACAGGCCCGCTCGGAATGCTCTCCAATTCCCTTCCATTTTAGGCTATTGACGCTCTCCAAGTGGGAAGCGAGCGAAGCCACGACCACGGACCCCACCACTCTCCGAAACGGAAGGTGCTGAGGTCGTGAGGAATCTAATGATGCTCAGGCGGGCGAGCCCTCTGCAGAAGCCTTGGGCGCCACGTGCGTTCAAGGTATCGATGGCTCACGGATTTCTGCAATTCACATTCAGTATCGCATTTCGCTGCGCTCTTCATCGTTGC